TCCACATTTCTGTTTCTGAGATGTTTCTAAGCTGCACCTGAATTAGTGCTTAAACTCCATCAAAGGTTGGATGGCTGACAACTTCCTCCGACTCCTGGAGTCCTTGTAGGTGCTGACAGATTTGTTAAATCGTCTCAGGAACCTCGGGGTAACCTTTGACCCGCTCTCACTTTGGATCTTCATGTTAAATCTCTGGTTTGCTTTTATCACTTAAACGTTGCCAAATTAAGTCCTATTGTATCTCGCACTGAACTGGAGACGGTCACTCATTTCATTTGATTACTGTAATTCATTGTTTACACGTTTAAGCTAAAACTCCCTGAAACGTTGCAGAAACGCTTCTTCTCACGTGTTGCTAACACAGCTGCGTCTGAGCTGAGTCCAGTTCAAGATTCAGACTTTAGAGGACTTCATGGACAAGCACCTGCTGACATTATTGATTATCTTCAGCCCCACGTCCCCCTGAGGTCATGTGATCAGGCCCTACTTGTTATACAGCATACGAGGCTGAGAGCTACGGGAGACAGTGATTAGTTAACAGGAGTGCGACAGGTGGGTGCTGGGGTGGAGCAGCAGCACCGACTTCTCAGATGACGATGTGTTTGTGCTTGAAGCAGGTCGCTTCTCTTTCTGTTCGCTTTTACAGAGCATCCAGAAAGTTCTCACGGCCTTTTTCCAAGATGGAAGACATTCACTTTTAATCTCATGTGTTTTTTTACATTTTTTTAATACATTTGCTTTTATCACTTCGCCATAATGGGGTGCTGCGTGTAGAATTTTGAGGTGAAAATGAATTTAATCCATTTAGGAATAACGATGTGACGACAGAATGTGGAATAACTGGAGCGGTGCAGTGAATGCTTTCTGGAGGTACTGCAGGTCCTCGTGTAGACTGTAGCTCTACTCTGAGTCCTCAGCATCTCTGAGGATGAGCCCAGACATCCTTCAGACGATGCTCCACCCTCTTCCACAGAGACCAGGACAGCATCCACCTCTCTGCAGACACTGCACACAGCTGTGTCAGTCTTTCCCAGCCTGCAGTGGGCGCTCCACCCTTTCTCTGCAGAGCACCAAGGCCTCACCATGGCTCAAACTACACTTTGAGTTTACTTGAGTGAGCTGGAGCTGCACTTTCACCAGCAGAGAAACTGGGCTGCGTGATGGATGAGTGAAACAAGCCATGCATCTGGTTATGGGAGCAGGCGAGGAGAGCGGAAAAGCTGAAGCTACTTTACCCCCCACCTACCGTCCAGGCCGAGCGTGGACCGCACTCACGACACCGAACAACACTTCTTTTTTCGCTTTGGCTGCAGCGCAGGCGGGAAAACAAAAGCAGACATGAGGTCTGACGTCCTGCACTTGGTCCTTTTGTGCTTGAACATTTCCCCCCTCAGGTTACCTGTCTCTGGAAGCGCTGCATTTCACTCCCTGTGACAAACTCCTCATCAAACTCCAGCCCAGTGTCGTCTTCACCCCCACCCAGCATGCACAGCCTGCGCTCGGCCACTTCCTGTTTAAATAAAATCAGTAATACAAACATATTCTGTACAGTTGTGGAAGGCGCCACACTTCAAAATCACGAGTTAAATAAAGTGTTTGTGTTACAAAGCATTACTTTCAGGTTTATTGTACAGGTGCATTCTGGGAGGTGTGGTTTATTTCCTCTACCTCGTGGTTGGAGTTCAGGAGGATCACCCTGAGATCAGTGATGACCCCCCAGCTCCTGTGGCCCTGCAGAACCAGGTCACTGGGCTCCGCCTCCACCTCAGCGCCTGCTGCCCAGATCTGACAGGTAAACACACGAACACACTTTCATTGTGTTTACAGTGATTACCAGTGGTGATCAGTAAGTCTTCCTACAGTGTTAAAGGACTCACGGTGAGTGTCTGCCCACCAGCCAGGATGCAGGAGGTGGGAATGTGAAAGGTGATGTCTCCAGCGCCGGGGTAAACCCGCCGGACCACCCACCCACCCAGAGACTGCTCCTGGAAACAAATTAAAAAGTCATCATTGACCCTAAAATGGGTTTTCTCAAAGCAGAGCACGCCATTGTGACCCTGTAGAAATTTAAAAATTGTTTGCACATATTTTACATGAAGGCTGTTCTAACACGAGCTAGCTTAATGTCCTGAGATCAATATATATTATTAAATGTAATTACAGATGAATCACTGCAGTGCTGAACGGGTCAGAGCCGGGTGATGGAGCGCATGAAGAACCCGGGCGGGTTGCTGGCTCTGTGCGATATTGACATTATTGTAGTTCATGTAACAGTTTTTCCTCCCAGTAATGGAAAGTCACACAAAATCATTAACAGCAGTGTGCAGGAGGTCATCTGAGAGCGCCACAGCACACTGACCCAAGCTGCTCGTGCAGCCCTGCACAATTAAAGCCACGGGCATGAAAACATGCAGCCAAGGCAGCAAAAGCTGCAGTTCCTCCAACATCCAGCAGAGGGAGCAGTGACTCCATCACAGGTGTTGAAACAAACATGTTTACAGCTGCTGCTCTCACATCTCCCCTGTCCTAACATCTGTATGGGGGAGAAGATTTTATTTCTAAATAGCAATATTACAGTTTGCCTTATTAGGGGCGTGGCCTACTTGACTGACAGGCGAACAGTGACAGACAGCTGTAGCTGCAAGCTGTCAGCTGGGCTTCACCTCAGCAGACCCTGAGCTGGACCGCTGCTCGTGTTTGTGCTGCTTTTTAATGAAATCATGTGACCAATAATGCATCCAATACCACGCTGTCAAACATCCTCCAGCTTGACCCCGAGGCGTCACAACCCGTACAGACTTACTTTGTCTGAGTTGTTCTTCAGTCGAACATATTTTCCGTCCACGTCAATCTCTGCCACGCTCACGGCGCCGCGCTCCATCGAACGACTGGACATTTTGTAGGCGGGCGAGCTCCCGGACTCGCCTTCGTATTTCCGTTTCTTGCCTCTGGGCTTTCGGCCGCTGTGCTCGTGCGTTCGAGGTATGGATGTCCGCTGCGAGGGGCTGGGTGACAGCTTAAACCTGACAGGAAACAGAAACAGGAAGCACCATGGGAGCAAACGCACCCGAGACCCAGGACCCCTCCACTCACACTCAGCCATACCTCTGCTCCTCCACCTCCAGCATCTTCCTGTAGGCACTGATCTCCACGTCCAGAGCTACCTTCACATCCATCAGGTGCTCGTAGTCCTCCAGCTGACTGAACATCTGGCTTCTCATGTTGAGCAGCTCCTGCTCCTTCTGACTCAGTTTGTGGTGCCAGACTTCCCGCTCCTTGTCCAGAGTCCTCTCCAGGTCCTGGAAGCGGTTCTCCAGAGACATTTTCTGACAGAGAGAGAGGAACATGAAGACGAAGAGCGTTTCCCTCCACATCAGAGGCTTTTTCTCGAGCACAGACCTCCCCCCAACTCACTTCTTTCCTGCACTGCTGCAGCTGCGAGCTGAGCGTCTCCACTCTGACCTTCGTGGCGTCCAGCTCGTCTTTTGCGGCCGAAGCCACGTCGTTCTTCTCCAGCGCGTCCTGCTGGGCGTTGTGTAGCTGTCGGGCACAAAGCAGCGTGAAACACATTTTTAAATATCAGAAAATGATCCGTGAGCAGCTCGAACCTTTGAGCCGAAAACCCGGTCGATCTCTTCTTTGTACTGCTGAAGCTGCGACTCGCTGTCCTGCCGCAGCTGCTGCATCGCCTCAGCCAGTTTGCCTTCGAACTCCCTCCTCCGCCCTGAATCCACCTCCACCAGGCGGCTTTCGTGTCTGCTTCGGATCTCCAGGATCTCCTATTGAAAACACAAAGAGGTGAAACGGTGACGTGAAGATGCGCCAACCTGAAAACGTAGAAATCGGCAGCAGCCCGAGTTACCTGCTCACTGATGTTCTTGTGCAGGTCGAGCTGCTCTTTCAGCGTTTGCGCCTGGTTCTCCGCCTCGACTCGCCTCAGCATCTCAGAGCTCAGCTGGTTCTTGGTTTCTGCCAGTAGAGCCTCCAGCTGGTGACAAATAAGACCAACGTCAGAGCTGCACAGGTGAGGCTCCATCAGCCCAGTTACAGATTCAAGAGTAAGTGAAATTACAAGAGTGCTGAAACAGACGAAGCCTGATTGGTCGGCTGAAGCTAACGTACAACCATTCATGTTTCCGATTCTACTTTAAGCTGAGCCAGGATTTCCTCACATCCTGTCAGACCGAACGGCGCAGGCTCGTTTTCCCGTCCCTCGCCGCAGGTGAGACACGACGTCTCCGACGAGGATAACTGCAGTTTAACGGCGGCTGCCCTTCTTACTTGTTCGAGCTGGCTCTGCAGGTCGGCGAGGTCGCCGTCGAGTCTGCGGCTCTCCGACTGCAGTTTGGTGAACTCGGCGTCCTGCAAGCTCAGAGTCTCCTCAGCTCTCCTCAACTGGGCCAGCGCGGTGGTCAGATCGCCCTCCTTCTTCTGGTGCCTGAAAGAGACGCGAGCACAACGTTATCGGTCATGTGATACCAGCTGCTGCACAGCAGAGGTTAAACACTCACATTAAAACAGAAACATCACAGGACTCAGTCAGGCCGGCGGCGCTCACACTTTGGAGTTTCAAATGCACAAACTCAGATCCACAGACACTCACACTCCACGTTTACCTCTTGCTGAGATTAGCCCGACTTCATATCAGCAGGATTTTAATGAAACTGAGCCGAACCTGCTCGTCTGCTGTCTGCTTACTTTAGAGCCTTTACAGCTGTAACATGTGAGAGTGGCTTTAACTGGACTCCAAGCACTCGAGTCACTGTAGAGGTCTGCAGGGCGAACACTGCTGCACACACTGACCTGTCTCTCCATCGGCTTCCAGTTCACCTCCGTGTCCTGCTTCTTACATTCAAAGCGCTTCATAACCTCGCTCCTCCATATTTATCTTCTCCACACGTGCTCTGTTCTTCTCCAGCTTTCCTCTCGTCTGTTCCACCTGCTCGCATGTCTACCGTGGGACTCTTTGGTCGTTCTGCGCCGACACGTTGGGATGCACTTCCACCAGATCTCCGGACTACAAACTCCCTCTATACTTCCATCTGTTCAGACCTGCAGACCCTTCATCACGACTCCGTCTTAGTCTAGCTCTACCTTGTTTAGCTTTTTGTTTAATATTTACCTTATGTTTTATTTTGTTGTACTAATGTAAGGTGACCTTGAGGGTCTTTAAAGGCGCATAT